CAAAACGTTTGAGCGTAGAGCAAAAATGTTCAACGAAACTCCAGCTTTTTTCAAATTGTTATTAATAATAATAATTAATATATAATAATAATTGCTATTATTTACCACTGGGTGATGTATAGATGAAGGTATACACTAAGGTATTTCCTTAAGAGCAAACATTTTCAAAGAAAACTTTGTTCTCTCTCTCTTAAAAATCCAGTACCCAAGCAGATCAAACCATCTCTACTGCTTGTAGAAGTGCGAGAAAGCTCAGTAAATGGCTCTGTCCCTGTGGCGACCTCACCTCTCTATGTGTCTGACCCGTGTCCTCCATAAAGTCTGTCTCGTTCCCTGCCACTTTGATCCCCAGTTCAGCCCCCGTGGAGTCGCTCTGAAGTCCCTCTCAAAGGCCCGAGGGCTCTAACAGATGGCTGTCTGTCTGTCTGTCTGTGTGTGTGTGTCGTGTGTCATGTCTTTGTGTGTGTGTGTGTATGTGTGTGTGTGTGTGTGTGTGTGTGTGTGTGAATGAGAGTGTGTGGGTGTTTCCCAGTACTGGGTTGCAGCTGGAAGGGCATCTGCTGTGTAAAAGATTTGCTGGATAAGTTGGCGGTTCATTCCGCTGTGGTGACCCCTGATTAATAAAGGGACTAAGCCGAACGAGAAAATTACTGAATGAATTATTGTGGATGCACATGGTCCAAAAAACACAACCAATCAAACAAAAAATCCATAATTCCACAAAATAAATGTGATAAACAGTTTGTGGAGTCATTTGTAGATATTCTGAGCCACTCATTACACTGCTGCATGATGATGATGATGATGATGATGATGATGATGATGATGACGATGTGAACTTATCTTCATTCCTTCTTATCTTATTTGATTGTACTGTACGATCATGAACACACTGCTTTATATTTCACACACAGTTTGATCATTTCTTATTCGTAGTCATTTACCCACAGCAGAGAGATACAAGTCAGTAAATGTGTTCCTCACTCAGAGTTTGAGTCTTGTTTTAGTCCAAATATCTACAAACTCTTAAATCAAGAAGCATTTTCTAGACAAGCTAACATATTATTTTATCATCAGAAATAATCAGTCAGAATGAAGGTAGCTCCCCCTTTAAACAAGCAGAATAATCTGAGCATCAGAGAAGAAGAATACTCTCCTGTTAAAGTGAAAGCTGGATTATTCTGCTTCCCTGTTGTCAGATTATTCTGCTGGATTTAAGGAGAAACTCTCTTCATTCTGACTGATTATTTCTGAAAGCAGCACTATATATTTTGACTTGCTTTAAATGCTTTTTTGATTTAAGAATATTTAGATTAGAAGCAGGGCCAAAGTAAAAGTAAGTAAAGCACTTTGTTCAGTGTAATTTTAAGTCGAACACACTTGCTGAAAAGAGTGTATTCTGCATTGCTCATCAGTCTGTTAGCGGTTCCAGCCTGAGGCAGATATCAGTCATTCTGACTTCAGTTTGTCCAGCAGAAAATCTGCTGTTTGACCTCTTTCAGCCTGTGAGTTTTTGCTGTAATATCAGTACGTGTCTGCAGTTTAATGTGTTCTTCACGCTCAGGGTTTCTGATGAGCTGATGATCATATCAGTGACTCTATAACTGAGGCTGCATTGGGCATTTTAAACAGTTGAGGAAAAAACTCTTCATACACTGCAAATAATGCGTCTCTTACTCAGAGGTTTGTCTGGTTTCTAGTCCGAATATCTAACAGTTCCTGAATAAAGAAGCATTTTCTAGACAAGCAAAATGATATAGTCTTCAGAAATAATGAAGCAAAATAATCTGCAGTGAGAAAACTAATCTTATATCAAAAGGGAAAAACAAGATGGTTATTGATCTTCCCCCATTGTCAGATTATTTTGCTTGTTTTGAGGAAAAACTCGCTTCACTTCAACTCATTATTTTGTCAGATCTTTTTTTCTTGTCTAGAAAATGCTTATTGATTTAAGGATAAAGTGAAGAGGCATTTTTGCAGTGTGAGTCTTTCTACAGTCTTATTCAAAACATATTTAATTGTAATTATTAAGTGGTTGCCTCTTGCTTTTAGGGAGTTTTTTTTATATATATTATCGTTTCTCAACTTCTGTCATGAGCAAATTTGGTAACGGTCTTTTTTCCATAGAAGATAAACCATTTGAGGTACCTCCATCAATTTAAAATGCAAAGTATTTTATGGAATTTATGTATATAATAACAGAATTTACGCAAGATTTGTGGACACGTTGTTAAAAGTTATTGTTTTTTTATTAAAAATATATATATTTGCCAAAAGACAACTTAAATAAAATATTTTTATTACGCAATGACAATTACACTAATTCAGACATCAAGAAATCACAATTTTGGCAAAATAATAAGACCATAATTTTACAGAAAATATTGTGTTATGGCGTCCAAAGTGCAGTGATTTTTGAAAATAAGTAATATGATTTATAAATCATCAATAATGTAAACACATTTGAAGCAAAAAAGATGGCTTTGAACACCAAATGTACCTGATATTATTATAGTCAGGATCAGTCAGACTGAAGAACTGTGTGTGTGCGTGCGTGTGTGTGTGTGTGTGTGTGTGTGTGTGCGTGCGTGCGTGTGTGCGTGCATGTGTGTGTTTTGTGTTGAGCAGAAGCTGAATTATCAGTGGCAGAAGAGTGGGCAGTTTGCACTTCCGTCCACCGCACACATCCTGACCTGGCATCCCAGCGGTACGTACGTGTGTGTGTGTGTGTGTGTAGTGTCTGAGATGAGCTGCTCAATATCTCTTGTCTAAGCCTTTCTCATTGTAAATAAAACATTTTATTAGAATTTTTCAAAACATTTTAAACAGTATTTTATTATTTTTGTTAATTTTATTTTTTAGTAATTTATTTATTTTTATTTTTATTATTAATAGTGCAAATACATACAGTATGTGGTACACTGCAAAAAAATGCCTTTCATAGTTTTTGTTGTGTTTTTAGTTCACATATCTAAAGATTCTGAAATCTAGAAGAGTTTTCTAGACAAGCAAAAAAAATATTATTAATTTCAGAAATACTGAGTCAAAATGAAGAGAGTTTTACCTGAAACCAAGCAAAATAATCTGACCATGGGGGAAGCAGAATAATGTTGTTGATTTAAGATTATTTAACATTATTTTGCTTGTTTTAAGGAAAAACGTCATTTTGACAAATGATATTTGCTCTATATGAGTCATAGTTTTTATTATATTTATGTTAATTTATTTATTCTGTATCATTAAAAATAGAGTAATTATTATTATATGATATGCTTTCATCTATACGGATGTTTCCATGAAGTAGCCATGACGAGTTGCTGATGTGGCGATAAATAAACAGCCTCAAACTCAAGGTGTTGTGTGTGTGTGTGTGTGTGTGTGTGTGTGTGTGTGTGTGCAGGGTCGTGTCTGCTGACGGGCTCGGTGTGTGTGCAGTTGTGGTGTGATGTGTGTTTCAGCACACACACTGAAGATGAAGCTGCTGCTGAGCTGCACTCCTGGAGATGTGTGTGGCAGTGCAGGTCTGTGTTCAGTAAGGATGGGACAGTTAATTAACGTACCGGAGCGCTAACTATACTAACTACACATATATTATACACTCACCGGCCACTTTATTAGGTACACCTAACTAGTACAGAGTTGTTCCCTTCCCCCTTTTGCCTTCAGAACGGCCTTAATCCTTAATGGCGTAAATTCAACAAGCTACTGGAAATATTCCTCAGAGATGTTGCTCCATATTGACATGATAGCATAATATTGAATGTGTCAGCAGAAATGGAGACTCATCAGAGCAGCAACGTTTCTCCAATCTTCTATTGTCCAGTTTTGGTGAGTCTGTGTGAATTGTAGCCTCAGTTTCCTGTTCTTAGCTGACAGGAGCGGCACCCGGTGTGCTCTTCTGCTGCTGTAGCCCATCCGCCTCAAGGTTGGACGTGTTGTGTGTTCAGAGATGCTCTTCTGCAGAGCTCGGTTGTAGCGAGTGCTTATTTGAGTTACTGTTGCCTTTCTATCAGCTGGAACCAGTCTGGCCATTCTCCTCTGACCTCTGACCTCATCAACAAGGCATTTGCGCCCACAGAACTGCCGCTCACTGGATATTTCCTCTTTGTCGGAGCATTCTCTGTAAACCCTAGAGATGGTTGTGCGTGAAAATCCCAGTAGATCAGCAGTTTCTGAAATACTCAGAGCAGCCCGTCTGACACCAACAACCATGCCACGCTCAAAGTCTCTTAAATCCCCTTTCTTTCACATTCTGATGCTCAGTCTGAACTGCAGCAGATCCTCTTGACCATGTCTACATGCCTAAATGCAGTGAGCTGCTGCCATGT